GCCGCCCCAGGCGGGAGCAGCCGAGCGCCGCGCGCCGCCAAAGCCGAACCCGCTCCGCCGCGCCCCGCCCCGAGGGGCGCGTCCAGGGTGGCCGGCCGAGCGCCGAGCGCCTCGAGCGGAACGCTGGGCCCCCGCCCTCCCGACGCCCTCTGGACTTGCGGACTCCAGAGCGGCTAGGCCTCCCCTGAGCAGGACTACCCTCCCGACATCCTAAAGCCAAGATAGCACTCTTCTCGCCCCACGCACCCCTTGTCACAGCACCCAGATCCTTAGAGCCCTACGGGCCGGTGGGGCTACTCCATTTGCTGAGGTCCCTACCTCCACCTGGAATACACCTATGATGCCCCCCAGTCACGAGAGTCCTCCCAACATCATGCTGGGACCCGACTGTCTCTGGACGGCGTTGTCCGGTCCTGGGGACCCGTTTAAAGCTGGCAGTTCATTTCAAGTCCCCCACTACCCACACATCCAGGCACAAAACCAGCTCGCGCATTCCCTCTCCGGCCCACTCCCAGTGCCTTAGGTGGGTGGGACCATCATTTGACTTTTGCTCCACACCCTTCAGGCCAGTTTTCGAAGGGGGTAGGTTTCTGAGGATTTGGCGGTTCTCAGACCTGCCAGGTAACATGCACAGCATCTTTGTGCGCCCTCGCCAGTGTTCACTGACAACATGACCAGGGCGGCACCAACACAGGCTTGTGAGCTGTGCATCCAGATAGCAACTTTTAGCAGAGGCAAGATCCCTGAGGCCAAGTCCCTCCCCCTGCCGGTCCCCAAGGTGTGACCTCGATTTCTTTTTCCTCAAAGGTGGAGGTGGACTCTGAGAGCCCCACCCTCCCGTGTGCAGATCCCAAGTGCCTTTCAGGGGTGAGATGCTGGCAGATGGGCCCAGAGTACAACATCCAGAAAGCAGCAGGTAGGAAAAATAGAGGGGGAGCTCCAGCCAGCCCCCCAACATTCGCATGCCTCCCAGCCCACAGGGAGTTGCTGGGTGGTATAAATGGTTAAGTGCCAAGGGAGGGTAAAGGGAGAATGGGTAGGAAAGAGGGAACCGATTACATGGAACTGTGTGTGACCTCCTCCCTGGGGGACAGACAACCAAAAAGTGG